CACAACATTGGTAATCACAACAGCAGCTGCCCCGCCCTCTGTCCTTCCTTTTGTTCGTTACTGGAGTGATCATAATCGTGCAGTTTCTGCCAGTTTCTGTCACATGGCCCGATTGGATCGAACCCACTTGGTCAGGGAAAGAAAGACAAACAAATAGATAAATAGATAGATAGATAGATAGATAGACACAATGCGGCACATAACGCTACACGGTACAGCGCTGCATCAAATCACTGACGCGACCGAGTTTCAGTCCCATGTCCGATTCCTTCAGTTTGAGTCCTTCATAAAATCAGGGTCCAAAAAAACAGGGTGATGTGGATCAATCAATGACTGATCATGACTGATCTGTCATGACTGATCTGTTGTGTTTCATATGGATCAACACAACCGTTCTTTTGGGTTTTTTTGACCCCGCGACAAATGGAAGGAAGCCAAAACCGCGACAGTTCCGCACCTATCGTTCTTCGAAAAAAAAAAATCTCGTCCAAATGCGTTCATGAAACATTCAGAGACATTTGAACATGGTTGATGTTCATCCGGCAGATTCATATCCTTGAATGTGTCAGATAGTATGTAGGGTGGAAAGTGGAAACTACCGTTGACATATAACCACTGGGTTCCCACTGGCTGAAATATGATCCTTTCTTATCCTCTGCCTTTTTGGGCCCCGAGGCATACAGCTCGTACGTGAGGAGCCGGTCCAGGAGCATCTTCTTCCGAAGCTCCTACTCATGGAGAAAACACACGAGCAAAAACGACCAAACATGACCAAACATATTCAGGACTGTTTGTTGAGGGTCCCCTAAAAATTACCCTAAATATCCGCCCAAAAAATATACTGTCCTATCAAAGCAGGAGGCAAATTGTTTCTTGGTACAAACATGTCACCTTTGGGGAGTAACTCCCACCTGCACTGAATGTAACGCCCCACACACAAGGATATAGCATACCCCCACAGTAAACACAGGTATCACTCCCTCATACTCGCGGTTGGCTGTCATTTCTGGGCTGCGTAAAGAAATGGATAGGGCCTGAAGGATCACCGAACGATCAACTCCAACGTCTCCCCCAGCTGGAGCCGTTTCGGCTAATCCTTCAAACACCGGTTTGCTGTGAGTGGTTTCGGCAAGAGCTGTGGCGAAGTCAACGGAGATTCACAGCAAACGAATAACCAAACAGAACCAAAAAGCATTGAGCTGTAAGAGTCTGCGAGTCCACAAACAGATGCTTAACATATCCAAAGCGATATAATCTATAACTATAATACATATATATATATATATATATATATCTTCGAATATCTTGGAAGGATCCCTGTGTTGGAGCGCAAGGAGTTCCAACAACTGGATCAGTGTACCAGCAGATCCTCAGTGTACCAGTTGATGAACCAAACTGGTGAGTTCGTTGTCTCTGTCCTGGCCTATACATCCAGGTGATCTTTAGCTCTCACCATCTCTCACCGTGTCTCACTGGCTGACTCTGTCCAATCATTCTGAACCTCCGGGAAACCAAATGAAATCCAATTCTTGGTGATCTCACTTATTTATTTACTGTACCTTGCTTTCACCCGCATCGACTCTGAAACTCAGAAAGTCAAGGTCTTGTAATTTGATGTACTGGCTTCATCTCGAGTCCTCTTGCTTCTTGCCATATATTGCTGACTGAGTCAGTGAAAAAGTGCTTTAAATGTTCAAAAACAGATCTAAATCCACTCCTCCTCTCCTTAGTTCAGTCTTCTCCCATGTCTCCAACCGTCCCAAAGGATTCCACCGCTTGTTCACTCGAAGCAAGGCTCGCTCGACGCTCACCCCACCCGCCCCCTCACTATCCTCACTCCTCGGGGAAGCGGCCGCCGATTTCCTCGGCCTTGTCGGAGAGCTGCACCTCCCAGCGGAGGCCCTGAGCTTTGCAGAGCTTCCTCGGTTTGTGGGTTCTGTGCAATTCTGTGCCGCCGAGCCTGGCCGAGCTCGGCTTGAGGGAACTCAGAAGAATCGAATTACTCCTCAAGATAGTCAACTAGACCTCCTTATCAAACTTCTTGCAAGTAAAGGCTGTAGCAAAGCAGAATGAGAAGTCATCCTCACATGAAGCCTCTCTATTACACTTCACGATGCGCTCGCCATGCAGGACAATTGGAATGTGTGAACCGTGCAGGTGCATGGAAGGCAATCCTCTCACACCTCCCAAGCAGTCGATTGCTCTTGGTTGACTTACCTCTACTCTCTGCTCAGAACAGCGCATAGCACTGCAAACCATCTCTGAGCACGTGGCACTCCCAAACTGCGGTCGATGACCACCTCGCCCTTCAACGGGCGCCGTGGTGGTCGACCGTCGGTCCTCTCCCGTTTCCCGAAACGTTTCAGGTGACCGACGGGGACCGTGCCAGGGGTCTCCAGCTGGCTGAAGTGCTGGGACTGCCACTCGGCGAACTTCACGAAGAGGTTCTCCGGCAACTGGACACCTGACGGAGCTGCTTTCAGGTCTACATGTCGTCGACGGAGTGGAGATTTCGTCATCTGAAACGGAGATGACGTACGGATTTGTCCAATGTCATACTTCTGTTTGACTCACATGAAATCAATCAGCTTCACAACGGTTTGGGCGTTCCGTTGCACGTTCTACGCAGTTGGTGTGGTGAAACCACACCGTTTGACCTGTTCGCCCCCGAACTCGCGAAGCAGCGATCCGAGAAGCCTTCGGCTGAAACAATGCCTTTCACCATGGAAGCTTCGAGCCTCATCCCGAACGACGGGGAGCCACAGGGGTCCAAACCGTCATAGGTGTCCAAAAATATGTGGCCGGGTGTCTCGACTCAAAATATGAACATGTTATATGTTATATATAGCTAGATTTAGCATGATTTAGCTAGCATGTCATTATGGGGAATGCAGTTGTGCATGACACAGGATCACACTTGCTCCTCTCTAGCTGGTTTATTGCGAGTATAGACGAGTCATTCTGGCATCCGGTTGCAATCTCTGCTTCTCATTGCGGGGATCGGAAGCTCTGTTGATCCCCGCAATCGTAGCATGCATGTAACATGCGCCACTGGGCCAAGGGGCACGAGGCTTTTTGCTGGTTCCTAACACACCAAAACTCACATCAAAAAGAACGCCTGAAAAATGCTGGTTGGCAATCAGTCCAAAGATCTTCGCACCAAATTCACTTGGCCCTCTTCTTACTCGGTGATTCTAAAAAGCCATCTTTAGGCCCGCAGCATGGCAGTCGCTCCATGACCCTATTTGCTGAGAAGCCCCTTGATGAACTTCGGAGTGAAAATTGCCTCGGCAAGGAACCTGCCTAGTCAAGAGCCTCAAAGGATGTATTTGAACAACTCGAACAACCTGAATTGACATGCCTATGCCACCTATTCCACCTGCCAAATCAAATCTTGCCAGCGAATCCAAAGCATCCAAAGCTCTCACTTTAGAAGGAATCAGACTTTCGAGTTCTACTATAGCATGCATGTTTGGAATGCCTGATTGCCTACTATATAGTGAGAAATATTATATCTACTTGGCATATAATCAATGTTACGCATAAAACCAATGTTACGGTCTGGCAAGCCCCAAACGCAACAAGCTTCTTGCATCACCAATGCAGCAATAGGTGCAGTAACCATCTCAGCCGATAAACATATGTTGAACCATCTTGAACAAGACACGACCCACATACTTGACGAAATGCGGTCGGAAGGATCCATCAAACTCAGTCAAGTTCATTGAATTGCACTACTTTCCTAATTATGCAGGTTAATGTCCTGGCTCCTGCGACACGATCTGACTCAAACATGGCGTTCTGAAGTGTTCTTCCAGTGCGCAAACTGCCAAACAGCACACTTGGAAGTCATGAGTTCCACCGCCCGGCGCAAGCCGCCCCAAAGCGCGCCGGCGAACAGATCTCGAACTCGGCGCCGAGGCGCTCGTTCCGCCCAGGAGGCCAACGTCCGATGCACCAGCGACAAATCCTTCACACCTGCGCACGGTCGCCGTTCGGTCGAACGACCGGCGGGAGCCGAAAAGAACGACCAGCGCAGCTCCGTGGGATGGAAGGCGAGGTTTATGGGTCATGGGAGGGGCTGTTCTCGTGAAGCGAAACGCGGTTGATTCTCTCGTGCACGGAAGGATACGGAGGGGCTGGTCAATTCTTGAGAACAACAGAGCTGATGTCACATACTTCCTGTCGGAGTGGTACGGCAGTTTTTTTTTACTGTATAGCCTTATAGCCAACATGAGTCAACAACTGACCGTGTCCAGCGAATCTATGCGAATCTATAGTAGTGGGCTTGCAACAAACCACTTCCAAAGCTTACTCGAGAAGGACTCCTGACACGGATCTACAAACCTTCCTTGAATCTCTACATGCAACATTCAGATTGTCAAGCTTCTACGCCCTCAAAAAAGCGCTCGAGGAGGCCCACACCTTTAAAGAGGTGGTGGAAATGCTCAAATGCCGCTGGCAAGTAGGTCTCAAACTCTCGCTTGTAGACCTGATCGTAGGCGCGTCAGCGACTGACCGCGATGAGCAACGAGCGCTTTGGCGACTGACTGGGCCAAACCAGTTGATCCAGAGGCACAAGAAACAAAGCACACTCAAGCCCTTAGCTGTGTCAAAAATACACGGCGGGGTTGTGCTAGTGCTACAATAGGCACTGCCCCGACAGCCTCGCAGCCAGTGGGTTTCAGATGGTGTTACCATAGTACGCTTTAGTCAATTGTCCCTTCTTATGAGGTTTATTGGAAGCTACTCCCATGGAGGCCAGCTCGACAAACTGGTGGAGGCCAGCTCGCAATTCTCTCGACTCACTAACATGGAAAACCCCCTGAGATGGTCCATCAGAAGGGATCAGTCACCTCCTACAATGTTTGCACCTCCTCCAAAATGAAGAAGACAACTATCAGGGAGTGGCTTCGATTCTTGTATGTCCTGACACGTTGCGCAAACATCTGGATCACCAGGCCCCTCCTGAAAGTAAAAAGACGCCGCAGCGCAGCAGCTCAGACTCGTGCAATCCTAGACACAAAGGCACCAGGCTTGTAGAGACTCCCAGCATTGTGCAAAATATCAGAGATCAAGCACAGTCGGAGGCACCTGCAGAATCATGATTTGAACCGGCCAGTGTCCTATTGCAAGGGTAAGACAAACACTGGCACCAATTGTGATAGCAAAAGAACACCCCCAAAAAAACAACCTATGTTGAGTTGAGCAGTTTTGTATCCAAGGTCGCGGTCCCGTTGATGCGCGACATCGAATATATGTTGACAAACGTCAAGAAATTGGGAAGCTCCTTGATGACAAGAAACCAAACTGTACAAACAAAGAATCGAGATACCTTACTGAGCAACATGATTGCAAACAAGTTCAAGAGTGAAAGTATATAAATCCCTTCCTAAGATTCTCTGAGTTACAGAAAGGTCTACCCGCCGTACAGTGCCCGGCAAACCAATCTCACACCCCACCTGGAGAAAAAAAAAACGAACCGCTTCGGAATTTGGACTGCACTGGCGCTCGCGGCGGCTTTTCGGCCTCTCATGTGCTGTGATCTTCTCATCTTCCAGACTCTCTAGTAGGTGTTTGGAGACATCGATGGCCATGTCATCGTTGTCCAAACACCAAACCTGGGCCGTTAAAGAGTCCAGCCGTGCTTGATGGTCCCACCCAGTGATTTCCACGTGACGTCCTGTGCGGTCAAGGAACCATACCCAGGTATTCAACCAGCGAAAATGAACAGATTCCTCTATAAGGGATGTCAACCTACCTTGGTTTGCTTGAGAGATGGCACAATCACCAAGTTTTTTTTTTTTTTTAATATGGAACCCCTATTCTTCAAGGACATGTTGTGCCATCTACTCTGAAACCACGACTCTGAAACATGATGCTACATGCTGGGTCACGACTCTGAATCGTCAAATCTGCAAGGCACTCGTTCAAGGGGATCTTTGACAAGGCACTCTGCCATTACACATAGACATGACAAGCGTGAAACTCTTGGATGCCATTTTGGGATAACCCTACAAACCATGGACTGCACCGCAAAAATGCTGTTTGTTCATGTGTTTTGTTCGTATGTTCCTCTCGGAAGTGTCCCTTCGACGCAAACCTTCGAAGCGGTGACCCACCGGCCACCGGTGTCCATTCTTCGAGCGGCCATCGCACGGCGGATGTCAGAAGCGTGCAACGACAAGTCCTGGAGACCGGCAGCGTGAAGGAACCTTCCATGTGTTGTTGTTTATTTGTTTGTTTGTCTTCCGTAATGATGTTGTTTGTTTATTTTGTGTTTGTTGAGATGTTTGCTTCTTGATTGAAATTGTTGTGATGGAGGCGGAAATCAAGAGTTGGGTTTCTCCAATTTGAGATTTCAAGATAAGAACCAATGCACAGAACATCAGCTAAAGAAAAAACAGCACTGGCTGCGGACCTGGTCATGCTCTGTTGATGGTACAGTATCACTTCAAGAAAACAACATCCGACATATACTTGGCAACCACATGTCCAGCAGTCCAAGAATATGTACGGGTGTCCTAGGGTTTAAGCAAACATATGCAAACATATCATAGCATTGACTCGTGACAACCTGACAGAAAAGTAGTGTTGATTCATCCTGCACCAAATCCACAGGCAACAAAACTCATTTCTTTTGGGCTCCCAAATGCTCTCTCATGCCTATTACCTGCATTTACCTGCACTCTTCCATGAACAACTGGCGGACAACACAATGAAAATCACGGTTTTTATTTCTATAAGGTGCAATGTGACGCCTCATCTCTCTATATATATATATATATATAAGTGTGTTATTCTATGTTCTGCCGTTATTCTACTACTAACCGCGCCTTCAACAGCTTCTCCAACTCGCGCACATCACGGCGCCGCAGCCGCTCCGTGCCCTGGCGCTTCCTGGAGGAGGCGCTCGGTGTGCGCTCGGTATCGTCCGTTGATTGAAAAAATGGCATTGAAACACGGGCATGAACACTTCACTTCTATTGAAATTAGATTGCAGGGTGGCATTCAATAGAGAAACATGTGTCTAAACTACCAACATTTACCAACAAAAAGTACATTAGACAATGTTCTTTAAGATGCAGGTCTTCTTTTTAAAAATCAAGGGATAATTAAGGGTGAAATGAACAAAGTGGGAGCACCAGTTTCAGAAGCAACTACGGACGCAAGCTGACATAACCTGACAGAGCAAAGCTCAAACCAAAGGCAGAATGTCAACAACTTCCGCTTGCCTTCCTCCTATTTTTTGGTCCTGTCATTTACAAGGTGTCGGTTCAGAACCTCTTGTTCAAATCCCAACAAATAGGATTTTGAATGTGCACTAAATTACTTAGGCAATCTACAAAGGTGTCTAATACTATCAACTCTGACTAGGCAGCCTGCAAACCATTTTTGCACCACAGCTCACTCAAGTGCTGTTGCCAACTTTGTCAACTAAAAATGCTGCCAACTTCAAGTTGGGGAGGGAAAGAAATCTGCTTGGACATGCTTGGGAGTGGTGCCTGCCATTGTCTCGCTGCTCATGATGCTCCCCATCTCCGTCCTGGTGGCAGAACGGCGATCCGTGGAATCACTTTGGCAATTGGGAAGATCAGATCCTGTTCGCATGTCCGTCCGCCGTCCGCCTCTTTACCTGGTCTTTATCTGGAGTCCAACATTGGGTCTTGGCCCTCCACAAATCCAGCAGAGGTCACATTAAGACAGCAACAACCAAAGAAACTGCTAACATATGAACGATCCCATAAGGATTATATAATCCAGAAGGTTTCAAGCAAAATGATGTTTTAACGACTGGTTAAACAAACAAAAACAGTCTACCTCGAACCTCCTCACGGTGACTAACACAGTCAATTTGCGACTTCCAGAGAGGTCACAGCCCTTTCCCTCTGTTCCTCTCCTTCACCGAGTTCCGGAAGCCTCAGCTGTGCTGTGCCAGATCCACCGGGGCCACAGCTCGGTCCGTCTCGGGTTCCCTCCCGTCGGTCTCCCGTCCCGGTGCGTCGGTGCGTCGGTGTGTCGACGAAACGAACGAGGTGGTCAGGTGGCAAGAGACGACGGGTCCAGGCGGCAAAGACCTTGGAGTAGTCCGCATGCTTCACCTGGACCCAAAAACGAGTCGAATAGGGCAGAACAGGATGGAGCATTTTCTGAGAGCAAGGTTCGTGCGGGCTGGGTTTGGTTTGTTGAATCATACTTGACCTAGATGGATGCCAAACTGGAGGTTACAGTAATGTATCTAGTTAACATTAGTTAACTATGCCAGTCCCGATGGATGGTCGATGGTTCCGCTATGTTCCACACCTGGAGGAAATACCCAATCCGAGTCTTGATGCGTCTGGCGGTGCGCAGCAGAACGGACAAAAACAACTTTTTGGAGGGCTTTTTTGGTCACTCGTAGCCGTGCTTCTTCTACAATGTGGAAATGTCCAATGTGGAAATCATCCATGTGTCTTCCACGTCCTCGTCCTCATAAACAGTGTACGCAAACTTTTGCAACCCTTCAGGAATATCCATTTCCACTGCTTCAGATCTCGGGCCCGTAACCTCCAAACACAGAAAGCTGCTTGGCCAATTCGCTCTCTTCAGAGCCCAAGACCAACAAGAAATGCGGTGAAGGTTGCTGGGCCAAGCCACTCCTTCCATGCTCTGGTTGAACTCATAGCCAAAGGAAAGACTTTGAAGGCCGCTGGGCCAAGCCACTCCTTCCAGGCTCTGGTTGAACTCGTCACCAAAGGCAAGATTTTGAAGGCCGCTGGGCCAAGCCACTCCTTCCAGGCTCTGGTTGAACTCGTCACCAAAGGAAAGATTTTGAAGGCCGCTGGGCCAAGCCACTCCTTCCAGGCTCTGGTTGAACATAAAACCAAAGGAAAGACTTTGAAGGCCGCTGGGCCAAGCCACTCCTTCCATGCTCTGGTTGAACTCATAGCCAAAGGAAAGACTTTGAAGGCCGCTGGGCCAAGCCACTCCTTCCAGGCTCTGGTTGAACTGAGAGCCAAAGGAAAGACTTTGAAGGCCGCTGGGCCAAACCACTCCCTGCAAACTCTGGTTGAACTCGTCGCCAAAGGCAAGGTCTTTGAGGGTGACAAGGTTCTTTAGCTGAGCTAGCTTTCTCAGCCCTCGTAGCTGCAGTATCCCCTCGAGGGCTATCGACTCATCGTCGACAGGGCGTTCTTGGAAACATCTCCAAGCCTCCTGCAGGTTAGTCACCTCATAGGCGTAGGACAAAGAAGTTGGTTTCTCTTGCACCAGCCCTTCTTGGGCCAGAGTCTTCGATAATGAAAGCTTCTGAGAGCCTTTCATCACCACAACTCTTGCTCCAGCTTTCAGCGGAAGTCGATCCCGGATGATATTTCGAAGCTCAGAGGCAGTCAAGGACTTGGGCACTCGGACCTTGAACCCATCTCCACTCACGCCCACCACTGCAATTTCCAATTCTTCAGCCCCAAGCTGCCGCGATTCGCTTGGGGGTATGGCGTAACCGGAACTCTCTTCAAGGGCTGTCATCAACAGCCGTTGCCCATGGCCCCTCACCAGCAGTCAAGGACAAGAAAGCACTTCTACGACTCTACGAATTCTAGCTCTAGCTTGAAGATTTTTGAATGAGCAAGGCACCATTCCATATCCACAGTTGTTTGATGTTCTTGATAGAACTGTCACCTCTTGTTTCTTCATTTTGGTCTTGCAAAAAGGCAACATGTCTTGAGGTTGCGGATACTGGACAGGTAAGTCTTTGGGTCATGCAAAGGTTGAAGGCTATGTCTCAAATCAATCCAAAGCATGTCAACTGGTCAAGCCATGTAGCCCCCCCCCCCACAACTCCCGCGTCCCAACATATGCCCGGGCCCAGGTGAGAATCTGTTCGATGAACATCTTTGTGAGATGACATGTGGGCGGTTTATCCAATATCAGAATGATCAGAAGGATCCAATCATGGGAGATTGTGGAGGGAATCCTGTTTGAGGGACTTGAATTTAGGGTGGCCGATTTGGTCCACTCCGACCTTTGCTTGCTTCAACCAAAGACTTCTCCAGATTGCTACGGACATGAACATGCAGCATGTTCAAGGGATTCTTTGAAGGCCAGGTCTAGGGGATTGCTTCTGTTTGGTTCGCATCAAGATTGTTTGGTTCACAGCCCGAAGCAAACGAATGAGAGGGGTCGGCTCCCGACCGGTCGGCAGTTCGTCCTACGGCTACCGGTGGCTGGCCGCGCCGTAAGACCCACGTGCCCAACTACACCACCGGGAGAACGTTCGACACCCGGCGGCCTCCGTGTAAGGATTGAACTTCAGCATCGCCTCCGACCGATGGCGGGTCTCTCCGGCAGAACGAGAGCCGGAGAGCCGGAGAGCCGGGCCCAAGCAGGGTGGGAACAAAGCGACACACATGCATTGTAACACAGCTTCGATGTTCATTGACGCCATGCAAATCCAGGGTGGGTGGGAACAAAGCAAAACATTGTAACACACACACACATTGCATTGCATTGTAACACGGCTTCGATGTTGGACGTGCTCCAACTGCAAGTTCATTTTTTGCCAGGCACCATCCCCAACTGTCGCTGGTGGGCTCGTACGACGTGCACTCCACCGTGGACGACCCGAACCCACACGCGAAACGTCGCACGAACCTTCCGCCCAAGCTCAGCTCTAAGCCCTATAGGGATCCAGTCATACCTTATACCTCAGGTAGGGTGATTGGAGGCACTGTTATGTGGTTTGGAAGGTCCAGTCCAGTCGTACCTTCTCCCGAGGTTCGGTCCGACTGGACTCCCTATCACCGTCGGTCGGACCAGTGCCACTGAGATGACCGGTAAGCGGTTGGTCACCGAAACCGGACATCGAGTCTGACGGGGGACACCCATCTCGTACCGAACCTGGGGTTCGACACGAACACGGACGCGGTACAGACGTGGCACCGGCCAATAGTGTCTGTGAAGGAACGACTGGAGTCACTGGATCCCTAGGGCCCTTAGTCAACTTCGTTCCAACTGCTTCAATCTGACCCTGCCGGGCTCAATTAACTTAGTCCATCGCAGTCTGTGTCTGGCAACACCTGCGGCGCCACGGCGCCGCGCCTGCTCGCGCTGCTCGTAGGGCAGCTCCCGCAGCAGTAGCCGTGCTGGGCGATCCAGTTGCCACTTGGCGCAGAAGTCGTCTTCATGGCGCCTGGCACCGTCCAGCCGGTCCCCGACCCGCAGACCCCGCTCGCCGTCTGGGGCGACGGAAACGGCAGATCCGCACCTCGAGACATGACAGTGAGGTGCCCTTCTACAGCGGGTTCAGGTGACAGGGGCTGGAACGCTCGGGGGTGAATGGCTTAGTGGGTGACTGACTGGCTTTTGTCGGCTTGAGACTGTTCCAAATGGTTGACCACCTGCTAGCTATAGTACTCCAGCAAGAAAAGCTGTGCTTACTGCCACGTTCGTCTTTTTGCTGGTAGCTTGTGTCTCCTCAGCTTGGTAAGATCATGTAACAACCCTCAAAGGGCCCATCTCTCAACAAAAACAACATGCAAGAGATGGCCGAAAAAAACGAAAAAAATAAAAGATCTGAAAACCCACTGCTCCTCCGCGTTTCCGCCCCAAAACAACGCTAGTTGGTGTCTTCACACCCCCCAACCAACGGACCCGACGCACGCTCCGACGCTCCGACGCTCCGAACGGCTCCGGGTCCGGCTCCGGGTCCGAAACGGCCTGTAGGAGGGCGACAGCGGCGAGCGGGAGCGGGACGAACTGGAGGAGTCCGACTCATCGCCTGAGGCCGGTGCCGCCGTGGGCGTCAGCACGGGTCCACGGCTTGGCGGGACCGATCGGGTCCTGGGAAAGAGAAAGGTAGAAGCGGGTAGATCATGTAGGATGTAGGGAATATGTAGGGGGTTGATTCTAGAGTTTGTTTCTGGTGGGGATCTAGGGTGCACTGAAAACGTTCTACAGTACCTGTTCGTGTTCTTCGTGGGGGTTCAACAATATCCGAAAAGGGTTGAAGGTTATCCACTGATTGGGTAGGTAATGTCCACATGTTGCTTGTCAATACCTTTAGTGGAGAGGAAATAACATGATTTGGTGAAATGGTGCTGGTGTATGTGCCTTGGTTTCTGGTGCTGTTCCCTTTTCTCTCCTCCAGAAATTTACTACAAATATGGTGTGCTCCACCAGCATGATCCTCTTTTCGGTAGCATGCAAAAAAAAGAACATGCCTCAACACTCATCTTATTCCGAGTGGAGGCCCAGGCAGGGCAGACTGCTGTCATCTGAGCTCTGCCATCTGGGCGCGTGCTTTCTTTTGACTCCATGCAATTAATGTAGACTCTTGAGTAATAAACCCTCTATCAAAAGGTCTTACAATCCAAATAGCTTGCAGACCAAACCGCTGCTGACAAAAAAGGAACAACAACCAATCGGTTGAACATTCTTCAATAGTGAGGAGCTCAGTCATCTGGAGCAAAGTTAATACCGTTGAAGGAAGAAACCTGCACCACGTGAGTTGGAGGATACCCCACCTATTTGTTTGTGTATAGAACTTTCCCAAATGATACAGGATCCAGGATACAGACTCTCAGCCAGTTTTGGTTTCAGGTCACTTCAAAATATAAATTTCCTGAATTTTTTTGGATCCTAAGTCAGTTGGAAACACCAAACTTTTTTGGGGTCTCCGAATTAGAATACACATCTTTCTGGACTCTCCGGCATTCTGTTCGAGAACGATTTGGAGACGAGACGAGAGGGGCCGAGACCGCACGATGTTCCGGTGCGCCTCGCGCTGGTCGTGGAGGCGGGTGCCAAACCATGCCCTTCCTGAGCCGGGAGATGGTGAGCTCTTCAGTTCATGGATCGATCACGTTCACTGCCGAAAACAAGAACTCATCCGGATAGCCACCCAAAGTCGGCCACATGGACTGACAGGTTGGGTTCATTTCCAGTCAGTTGCGGAATGATTTGATCCTCCTACTTAAAAGCAGGTACAGGATGAGCCCTCTCCCCACCCTGGGCCTACTAAGTGATGCTTTTCCACTTCTAAATAGCAAGGTGGGGTGTGAGGTCTGTGGATTTGGGGGGCAAAAATTCCCAGAAGGAGTTCGACAGTCGGCTGAGTCGACAGTCGACACCAAGAAACAAAACCATCGATGTGAAGGGAAGGAACGGGCCAGCCGCCAGCAGGTCTTGTGGGGGCAGTCAGTGCATTTGACATCAAACACGACTAATTAAGGACCATCTTCTATGGGTGTGGACATGATTGTCAACGGATGAGACGTTAGATTGAGGCGTTCAGCGAACACACTGTTCAACTTGAGGTCTTCCAAGATTTCCGGGAAACAGAGCCCACAGCAGTCGTACAGCTCGTCAAGGCCCAAGTGGCATGGTAGACCCAGATTTGGTGATCCGCAACCTATGCAGAAAATGAAGTGCGTGGGTTTGCTGTTCCCAAGCGCTCTTTGGATTCCTCTAAGGGGGTTCACGATGCCTTTCGGGCAACCTGAAAAAAAAAACAAAAAAAAACTACTGGACACTCGATCTTCAGATGCTGCCAGGGCTCGTACACATCCTGGGAAGCGATTCGATGCAACATGACTGCGGCAATGAGTCAACAACTGCGTGAGTAGTCCAATGATTTTCCACTCCTGATGTCCACTCCTCCTGATGTCCACGTGGGTAGGAAAATGGGACTGAACCCGGAATGGTGCCTGGGCGGTGTTTTCTCGTTAAGCCAAGAGACTGGAAAGGCTCCATCCTCCAGTGGTGTCGGGTGTCGCCCTGCACGAAGGAGAACGTTCGCCTCGAGGCTGCCCCGGAAAACCGCAGGCTGCCGCTGAGGTCTAGGATGGGAAGAGCAGGCTTACCCAGGAACTAGTCCCAATCAAATAAAAGGGTGATGAATCACCGATGTCCAAGTTCTGACAATTGACAATTGAGATTCTCAACATCAAATCTGCTTGGGTGTAACAGCGAACATTCACTTTATATAATTGGTTGGAAATCTAAAGGAGACCTCGGAACAAATCCAAAGGAGACCTCCTCAGCAAAAAGCATATATGTGAAAGTGGGTCAACATCCGATTGTGAGGAAGGAAATGCAGACATGCACTGCACCAAGTTCCATGGTCTAAGTTTCATCAAACAGGGTCTGAGCTACGCCATCTAGTATCAAATCGTTCAATGAACATGCAGAAACGCTTCTAGGGGTTCTAGTGCCGTGCAGGGGGACTTGAGAGAGGAGGGGGTGAACGAAAGGTAGCAGGCAATCACAAGTAACCCTGGTAGAAGTCCATGACGGCGTGAACCGGCGCAGGGTGGATTTGATCCAGGGGGGCCCCCCCCCCCGACGAACAGAAAAGAATCAACTCTTACAGGACCAAACTCAATGCACAATCCCAACTCCCGATTGTAATACATTTTTGCTAAAGCAAGGAGAACTCAGGTAGCTCAAGCTACCTTTCGTGATCTCTGCATGAATCCTACTCCGAGCAATGCATAGAAAGGAAACACGCACTTTGATGGATGTTATATGTATCTCCACCAACAGGTAATGATAAGGGCCTTTGTAGTCCCTCCTCTCGAGAACATCAGCTGAGCATCTAACTAAGATCTTCCAACCATCATTGCTTTTTTGCAGACTCAAATTCTATTATTGACCTGTTGGATAAACCACACAACAAACACATGCAAACACAAACTATAAATTAACTCTTTAAGGATTTGTAATTTGGCCTAAAAGCGTGAGCAAAGTATAGCCCTGATCTAAGATATCTAAGTATGCAAATTAAAGCAATATGAACAACTAAGACCCTTTGGCACTCCCGGATTGGCCTGACTCCAATAGAATTGGATGTTTCTCTCCTTGGTCCACTCGCTTTTTCCACTCCAAAAACCATCCAGCTCGGTGACCATCGGTAGTATTGCGCTTCGGCCGAATGGGTGTCCTGGCGATTCCGCGGTGGACGCTGGTTTCGCCGTCCGGCGGACACGTCCACGTGCGAAACAGTGACGGTTTTGGTTCGAAGACGCTACTGTCTGTTGGAAGTGCATGGGTTAAACCCAGTCGCTGGCTTGTAGCCTGTAGCTCGCTTTGGTGGTCTTTCTTGTCGGCAACAAGCCAGCTGTGCAACTTCGCCAGCTAACTGACAGGAAGGAAGACGTCTTTTCACCACTGTGTGAACATAGAATATCCTTGTGGATAGTTTCCCGACCGGTCTGTGATTGAATCGACGCTTACCTTGTTTCTGTTCATTGCCCCACCTTCCCTTCAAGTGTTCATCTGTTTCTCTCCCAATAGTCCACTTTCTGTCTACGTCCATTGACCATGTTTCGGCTTAGCGCACGGCAACTAGCACGGCCCGCCGAGACCCGGCGTGACCACCCGCGACCGCCGGCCTTGAGAAAGTTCCAGTCAATCTCCTCCGACCGCTGGCGCTCCAGGCGATGTCGAACCGCTTCCTCAAACCTCGGGTGGGGCCATGGAGACGACATGTCGATCGGTCGACATGGAGACGGTCTACGACCGCCGGGCGTTGAACGTCGCCTTTCCCGGTTTGTGTAAGAGACTGCTGAACATCGCCGGGCGTATCAGCTGCAAAAGTGACTAGTGTACAAGTCGAGTAGTATATACTACCTATACAATACCTATATATATATATATATGGCCTTTTCGTTGCATTCAGGTGTCATCATATCACATTCAGGTGTCATGACTTTAGATCTGGTCCCTAGTCGCCGGCCTTTCTTGATCAAATGCAGCTGTTTGTCCTATATTCGCTCCTTTCATTTTGAGGCTGGGCGGGAGTGGGAGGTTGGGGGATTGGGGGGTTGGGGGGTTGTTGGATTGAGCTGTGCTGGGTTGTTGGGAGGTTGCTGGGTTGTTGTTGATGTTTTTTTTCTGCAGGCATTTGGCCACAAGATTCCCATGTCACTAGCTATCATCACAACATGCTTCCAAGATCATCACCATCATCATCACCATCATCACCATCATCATCACAGCACATCACTACCATCCCATCAGGTATCACAGCCATGTTGAATCAAATTGCAGGTTTATCACATCCCTGATTTCCCATCATGGCATTGATCCAGCATGAGCCTGTGCCAGCGGTGGGCGAAACGATCTTTGTCTACAAGTACCAGGATCTCAGATCAACGAGGTACCAAGAGTGGATCTACCTGAGGAAGAAGGCATCCCATGATTTTGGGAGCATTACATTTCGCAGAGTCACTGTGCTGGCTTTAGTTCACATTTCAGTTAACATTTTAGTTCGTCAGGTCTTTGAAGGTTTTTTCAAAGTTCCTTGAAGGTTCTTTCATTCTTTCTTTGAAGGTTCTTTCATGAATCTCAGGTGACCAAAGGTGGCCACATTGCTCACGGCTCCGTTGGGGAGTGGCGATCCCTTGGGGATGGGACTATCCAATTTGATGGCTTCGCATGCTGCATCTTGGCTGGGATGGTTGATTGGGCCAGGGATGATTGATGGGGATGGTTGATGGGGATGGTTGATGGGGATGATTGATGGGGATGGTTGATGGG